GAATTCAAGAGCAACTGGTTCTCCTTTTAAGCCTGCCAAGTCACCTCATTGACATAACAAAAGATAACTTGACTGTTCTCCTACCTAAGGAAATTCCAAGGATGTTAGCATCAGCGTGCCAGACACAGTGACATAATGAAGATATATTTCTTACTATACAGTATCACACAAATCAATTGACTAAGATGCTGGTTCTGCCTCTTCTCCCTCATCCCTTAATGTTGGAGTGTCCCAGGATTTACCCTTGGATTTCTCTCTACACATACATTCCCCTTTTTATTTCATCCACTCTCCCAGCCCTAAGCCTTCCCTAAACTCCACATGAGAAACCTTGACACTATCTCTGATGACTTTTTCTATAATACTTTACATATAATCAGAGCAAATACTGTTGTCTCTAACTTCAAAAGATAGATAGAAACTTAGCACTTCTCTTCACCTGTCACCATCACCTGGCTGATAAAGTTCCCCTCTCGCCCAGAATATTGCAAAATTTCTTGCCTTCCTAGTCCTTCAACCCTAATGTACAATGGGTTGGCCTGAGTATGGGTCCTCACCTGAGTATTTAAAAGGGACTTATAATGAAACTCAACTGTAGGCACACAAAAGAAGGTTAATAAAGGGTTTATTTACTAAAAGGGAAAATGAAGAAAGGAATAATCCAGGGAGAGAAATAAATTGGTGAATGCATCCTACCAGTTCTGTTGAGCTGGGGCCGCAATAGCATGCTGAAAGCCGGAGATAAACCAACACCTTCCCTCGGCACTGCCTTCCCCCATCCCCCCACACCCAAACGGCCCACATGTCTCTGGTTATATTCCAAGCCTGGCTGCTTAACTCCACACTCAGCAATCCTCTGTGGTGATGACATTATAGATTTTTAATCCTTGGTGCCTTCTGTCTTTTTGGTCGGGGGTGTGGAGGAGTCCATAAAACCTGTGTTTGTAGGGTTCCTTTGGAACATCCTTTCCCCTCAACATTTCTTGCCCTCTGCTAGTTGATTCCCAACATGGCTGCCAGAAGAGTCGTTTTGAAGCCTGACTGAAGCTGCCACTCCTTGGAGAGCCCTCAGGGCCTCCCACCTTATTCTAGTTTCTCTTTCCCCGGTCCCTCCAACCACACTGGTGGGAGTCAGGCCCACGCCTGCCTCAGACCTTTGCTGTTGCATTTCCTTTGCTAGCAGCATAATTTCCTCAGATAATCTACCTGGTTCACTCCTAGCTCTCTATATCTGTATTCACATCACCTTTTGAGGGAGCCTACAATGATCCCTCTATTTAATATTGAGAACCAGTATGTTTGCTTCACTATCATGACAAGCTTTTGGTCCACATTCTCTCACTGGATTGCATGGATTTTGTTTCTTTTATTCACTGTGTATTGCTAGGCCCTAAAACAGGTGTGCACATATAATAAACACCATAAATATTGTCAACCTCAAAGAAAAGCAATAGTTATTCCAACAACAAAATGGTTATTCCAACAACAAAAATTTATTCAGAAACAAACAATAGAGAATAAGCCAGTAGGCAAGATACACATGCATTCATGAGTCAAAGTTCTCAACCTCTTATGTCTCCTCTAGAGAATCTTTTTCTTTCCACTGGGGTAGAAAAGCAAGATCACTTTCTGTCAGAGATGCAAAGCATGCTTCATCTTGTAGTGTTACTGATTTATGATTTATGCATGTGTAGGCGGGCACTCTTTTCTAGCCTCCAAATCTCAGACACTCTCCTATAGGAGATGTGAGCTCTGGTCTGTCCCTCTTTTTACGAGGGCACTAATCCCATCACAGGTACTCTACCCTCAAGACCTCATCTAAACTTAATTACTTCTCAAAGTCCCTCGCTCAGAATACTGTCACATTGGAGGATGGGACTTCAATACATGAATTTCAGGAGACACAGACATTCAATTCACAACCAGCAAAAGAGACTGAAAAGGAAGAGTCAGAGAGGGAGAAGGAAAACCAAGACAGTGTCTTGAAAACCAAGGAGTTTCAAAGATGAGAGAGCCATCTACAAGGTCAAATGCTTGGATTAAGATTAAGAGGCACCCTATGATTTAACACCATGTTGTTTGGGTTCTTGACAAGAAATAGGTTCAGTGGAGTGATAAGGCTAAAAGCCTTAATGAGTTTCAAATGGATTTAGAGAGACTGGGAAGAGAGAGATTAAAGGTGGTAAGTATGGACTTCAAGAACACTGCAATAAAGGGGAGCAGATACATAGGGCAAGGCTGGAAAGGAAAATGATGGACAAAATTAGAGCATGTTTGCATATTGATGGGGAGATGAAAACATACACAATTCTCATTACACAAGAAAATAAAGGAAAATAGTGCAACCTGTTTGATGAGTTTACAAAAAAAGTATATGTAAGTTCTGAAACATAATGAACACCTACTAACCTACCATGCATACCAAGAACTAGACCACTACCAATCGCATCTGTGTGGTCCTGGGTCTTCTACCCCCTCCTGCCTCTCTCTGAGGACAAAGCAACTTTACATAATTTTGTCCTTATAAAGTCTTACTATCTTCCATATATCCCATTGAATTTATTGACTGATCCAGCAAATAACTTCACCCTTGTCTCTTACCATGACCTCCTGTAGACAGGAATCAGGCCACTTTCATCATAAAATATCATGAAATTTCTCTTTCATTTAACCATCTACACTAAAATTTCATTTTTCATTTTCTATTTCCAGTTGGTTACAACTTTGCTTAAAACACTCCTTCTGCATGGAAACCATCATTATTATTCATTGCTCTCTGTACAACTTACTCCACTGGAAGCAGAAAAAGACCTTAACACTGTCTTCCCTAGTGCACAGGCAAAGCAAATCCCAGTGGCTGTAACTTTCTTTTTCTCCTGGAAGCTGCACCTGCAGTTCTCCTATCTGTATCCTCTTCCTCCAGTCCTAGGTTATATCCTGTTGGTCAAGTGCTTATACCAGCAACAGAAGGCCTCTTCCAGAAGGACTCAGAAAGGCAGGTGGTGGAAAGTGGTTAGGTTTCTTTTATCCCCAAATCACTGTGGGTAAGCTACCATCCCCAGATCATCCAGAATTCTCTTGAGCAAAGACCAGCAAGACATTAATAAATGTGAACAGACGGGGACCTTTACAAATAGATGACAACAGGCTCAGAGAAAAGTCCTCTGCATACATAAACCAAAACCCCAGTCTGCACTTGCTCACTGGTGCTTGAAATTGCTTTAAGGAGAGACAACAGCTTTCATCTCTCGACTAGAGGAAACCTTTAAAGACCAGGATGAACAAAGTCACTGATTACTCTAGAGCACAATACCGTACAGTAGACTGAAAGAGTGGATGATGCATTGGGCATCTTTAAAAATGGGAGTGAAGTAACAAAGGGTGTAGCAGGAGAAGGAACTTATCTTGTCTACTTGGGAGCTTAAAATAGAAAAACCTTAAGATCAGAAAACCTGGAACCCAATTTGGCCTTACTGTTAGCTGCTTGGCCATAAGGTAAATCACTCAGATTTCAACCTGTTTCTGTTAAACTGAAGGTAAATAACTGTCCTCCAGAGTTACTGTCAGATTTTGATGTCATTCTACAAGGTGAATAATTCTCTTCTTTCCCTGTTCCTTTGGGCATCTTCAACTCTTCCTTTCACACTAACTTCATCCCCCTGGCATAGCAATATGAACATTAAGGGTGAAGAGTCACTTGCTAGCTGCGGTTTGGGACAGATTACTTGTTCATTTTGTCCTTTGTTTCCTTGTATATTAAAAATAAGATGTTACCTGGAGCTTCCCTACGACCCAGCAATCCCACTCCTAGGTATCTACCCAAAAGACACAAAAAAATTGATTGAAAAAGATACTTGTACCCCCATGTTTATTGCTGCTTTATTTACAATTGGAAAAACATGGAAGCAGCCCAAATGCCCAAAAGTAGATGACCGGATAAAAAAGATGTGGTACATATATACAATGGAATCTTACTCAGCAACCAAAAAAGAGAAACACATGTCTTTTGCAGCAACTTGGATGGGGAGCTGGAAAAGATCATGCTTAGTGAGGTAAGCCAGAAAGAGAAAGAAAAATACCGGATGGTTTCACTCATAGCAGGAGTATAATGGACCAGGCGAGAAAATAACAAAAATAATGAACAACCATATACCAGAGTCATTTTGTGGGGGTGAAGTGGGGAATGGGATCAAAAACGGGGGGAGGTGAAGGAAATGCACGGGATTATGGTGATGGTACACGGGTGGCTTGGTGATGGGAAACCCGCAGGGATTACAATTGAGATGGGGAAAAAAAATGTACAAAATGATGTAAAAATAAACTTTTGTAATAAAAAAAATAAAAATAAGATGTTACCTGTAGATACTAGCCTCCTAGGGTGAAAGCAAAGATTAAGTGAGTTTATGCGTGTCATATACTTCGGTCTTGGCACACACACCAAAAAAAAAAAAGTGTTTCAAGAAGGTCATACTACTAATATTCCCAAGAGCTTCTCACCTGCCCACTTTGTACCAACCAAAACATAATTTTAGGTTCCTCCACTTTTGCTCTGTAACCTATAAAAGTCCACTGGGAGTTGCCACAAGCCTCCAGCCCCTTCCCGCCCTCCCCGTTAGGAATGGGACTTCCTAACTCGAAAAGCTCCAGGCTGTGTGGTGCCACAAGGAAACTGCGAAGTAGTTAGGCTCTCGCAAATCTTGACTCCGCAGGGGCTTCGGCGGGGCCAGAGGCGCTGTGTAAGAAGGGAGGGGCGGCGTGTGGCCGAAGGGTGGCTCTGTGACGTCGCCGCAGGGTCCCTCGGCAGCAGTTGCCAGGCACGCCGCTGGCGTCTGGTTGCCAGGCGAAGACCAAGCGCTAACAAAGCCAGGTCCCGCCCTCCTCTCTGGTACCTAGCGGCTGAAACCCGCGCCGCCCTTTCTCGCCAGGTTCCGCTGCTTCCCCCGCACCCCTGCCAAGGGTGCGAGGCACTGGAGCTCTCCCCACGCCTTCCTGAGGCCAGGCACGAGGTGTCGTCAGGTGCCAGACAACCCGTTCGGGACCGAACCTCTCAGGTAGAAACCCTGGAGGGGAGAAGGAGGGAGGGGAGCATCAAGAGGGCACTCCTGGTTGCTGCAGGAGTCTGAGAGAAGAGTCCTGCCCCATGGGCCTGTCGGGATCTGAACTCTTTCTAGTTCACAGAGTTAAGGGAAGGATTGTGATCTTTAAGAAAATGTGACCACGGGTAAATATTTCTCTCTTGCCAAAATATGTGTATTTTGTATCCAAAGCTGGTTAAAAAAAACACACAGAGGGCCCTCCCTGGTGGCGCAGCGGGTTAAAGCACAGCACTAAGAAGCTTGAGCCACTTCCGCATGAGTTTGATTCCCGCCTGCCCTGGAGGAGACCACATGGCACGGCAGACCTCTCCTGACCCGCCCACTGCTCCTGTACTTCGTCCATCTGCCTGTTTTGTACCCCACTCTGTCTCTGGTGAATCCTCTCACCCTCCGCATCTCTGGCCTATAAATAAATCTTTAAAAAAATTAAACACACACACACAGAGGACATAGTCTTAGAACACCTCAGAATCTGGGCTCATAGATGACCCAAACTTCTGCTTTTTCAAATGTAACATGGACTGTCTCAACTATCCATTCCAGGAGGGGTTGTCCTGAGGACCGATGGGCAGACTAACAGTTATCATGTATTCATTTTCCTGTATTCCAGTCACTCGGCTGGGTTTTCTAGAACCTATAGAAAACAGAAACTTCCCTCAAATTTATAGTCTACTGGAGGAGGTATGCATTAAGTAAAGAATCAAACAAATGTAAAAATTAGAGTTGAGAGAAATATTGCTAAATAGAAGTAAGTGGTGCTCTGAGAAGGTATAATGAAATTGTCAGAGAATCTGAGATGAACTCTGAAGAAGAATCTGTGAAAGGCACTCCGAGTAAGGGTAAATGCATATCCAAAACCCACCATCTTCTAATTCAAACCCAAATACATACATACAGTTTGTCTGTCCTTGGTTCCAAAAGCTATAGATAGAAACTGCTTCTGAGATTCTGTAGGCTGTATCCTTTCATTCATGTTAATTAAGCTGCTGATTTAGCTGAAGCCCTGTGGAGTCCACACCTATATAAATCCAAATGAGAAATTCCAGAAACAAATCTATAATTTCATATTTGATAAATCCTGTATTCTTCAGCAGTTAACAAGTATGTATAGTATCTATTTATATTGTATGTTTCACAAAAGAAGAACATTATTGAATTTTCAGAGTTGCTGGTAGAGATGGAATGGATAATTGAGGAAGTCCTACTATATTGAGAACTTTAAGAATAGAAAAGAACTTTGCAAAACATTGGAATTATGGAATATTAAGATAGAAAGGCCTTTCCAAACCATTTCTATCTGGTGTTAAAATCATTTCCTTGCACAAGGGCAGAGAAGTTGGGCCTTGGTGACACCAATCTTAGGAGTCTATGATTCTAAGTCTCTCAGCTCAGAAGTACATGGAACTCTGAGAGCAAATAGGGACATGGAAGAAGAACTGATCTGACCCTGCTTGAGTGTTCTCCATTTCTACGATGGTGTCACAGTCATCCAAATCTGGAAAGTGGGAAGTCACCCCAAACTCTTGCAGTTGTGTCTAAGTCCCATAGCTCCTGTATCTCCTGTACCTCCGCACTGCAACATCACAAGCTATGGTGTTCTCAAGAGTCATTACAAAAGTGCTGTCAAATGAGAAGTTTCCCTCTAGCCCCTCTGCCCATCTATATAGCCATCAGTCAATGTGGGTTTCAAAGTTGCAAAAAGAAAAAGAAAAAATAAATCAAGTAAACAAACTTCTATAAAGAATTTTTAACTATGGTAGGATTGGCATAATGGAGGTTACTAAGACATAAAGGGACAAGATATATGGGAATAAGAAGAACAGCTATCAAAAAAATAAATAAATAAGAAGAGGAGTAGCTATCACTCTTGAAGTAGATCATCCAAGAACGAAGAACTCCCAAGAGCTTGTTGCAAAGGGTGACCATAGCTCATTGGATGGCAGAGAAATTACTGAGATGCAGGTAGCCAGAAACCTATACTCTGGGATAGCAAAGAAGCCATTGGTGAAAAGGGCTTGGCAGCATTTTGCTACAAAGCTTCCCAAGAGAGTTACCAGAGGAAGCTCCTAGGCTCTGGGCACTACTGACTGCCAAGCCCTGCAGCAGCCAGGATCACGTACTACAGGAGCTAAGTGCTGGAGGAGCTGTGCTCTACAATGTCCAAGTAGCACTGAAGAAACTGCTCCTGGAGCCTAGCTAGAGAAACATATGCAACCCACAAGAGAAACCCCTTTCTTCTCCAGTATCCCTCCAGTGCCCTCTACTGATGAAACTTAACATCATGTCAGCTGACTCACTCTATATAGATGTAGGTGTAGGTGTTAAGTGTAGGTGTATGTGTGGATGTAGATATATAGGTCCTGGTTCCATATTTGCTAGGAGACAATGAAAGAAGAACTTGGAATTGAGAGGCAATAGGTTATTAATTAGCACATGAAACTAATACCTATACCTGATGGTGTGATTCTAAAACTTAAATCCTCTAGTGGCTCCTTATTGACTTCAAGATAAAGTTTAGCAGCCTTAGCACAGCACACTGGGATACTTCTAACCTTAGGCACAACCACACCCCCTTTGTCCATGCTAGTCCTCTATAGTTATTCATTATTCCTTGATTTCATCACGATCTCTGACTTCCTACAGCTTTGTCTAAATAATCTTAGCCACAAAAAATACCCTTCTTACTCTCTCATCAGCAAATGGAAATTTGTTGAGTACCTGCTCTGTACCTGACACTACTCTGGCAGCTAGAAATATAGCAATGAACAAACCAGGCTTCCCTAGGTCTTTGTTCAAATACTGACATATCACTCTTTGGAAAGTATTTTCTGAACTCCTCCTCCTACCTCTGGATGAGTTAGGGACCTCATTTGGAAGTTCTCCTATGTCTAGTTCAGACTTTTTGTCACTTATCATGCCTGTTTTAATCGGATTTTCCTGTCAGCCTTTTCTACTAGCCTGTGAGTCCTTTGAGGAGAGGGTATGTGTCTCACTTATTTTCATATTTCAGTATTCAGCATTATTTCTGACACAGTTTTATTGAATTAATTATTTGCCTAGGATCATGTAATTTAACAAAAATAGGCATAGGGTCAGAATCCTGGTCTCCTGCCTCACAGTCATAAGTGTTTTTTGCTAGAGCTTGATCCACTCTATGGGTGTAATGCCACACCTAGCTACAAAGGAGCATGGCTTTGGGTTTTGTACTGGAAAAAGACAAGTGCAATGTTGAACATCATCCAAAGAGGCAATGAAAACAGCCCTGACTTTATATGGGCAACTGTAGTAACTTTGCCCCTCACTCTGTGTATACTGCAAGTCTCTGGGTCAGAGGAATGCTATAAAGAAATCAGAAATAGGGAGAACAAATAAAAAGATCAAAATGATGTGGGGGTATGCCGACACTTCACTCTGAACAAATGAAGACCTTCATGCACTTATTAGAGACAAGGTCAAAGTGATCCCATATTTGTGCACGAGGAGCCAAGGTCAGGGGACATGCTGCACATCTGTGCCAGTCTGTAAATGGTGTCCCTGGGCTTATGAACCATAACATGGACATGAATGAAATCTTTGCAATATGAGCATGACTAAGTACAGATAAATCCAAAGAGGTACCTGTAGATTTGTGGAATCATAACTTCCAAAAGGTGGAACTAGGGTGATATGTAAACAATTTTGGGAAATTTGCTAATAAAATAGCCAAAAATTACTATTTAAAAAAGGACGACAAGGACTGCTCTTTGCAATACTGCTGCTGGCATCCCAGTGCTGGGTTGGCTTAACCGTAGATTTGGCCCAGGTTAGAAAAAGATCCATGTTTCTATGAAATGAAGTTGGAGAGGCAAAACTAATATGGATAAGATAAATTGTGATGAGCATGAAATTCAAACGGCATCATTTTGATGAGAAAAGACATGAAGACCCACTGGAGGTTTCTGAGAGCGACATGATAATATGAATGGTTAAGACATTTTATCTGAAAAAACTAAGCCTCAATTTCCTGGCATTGGAAAAATGGTTATAATATCAGAACCTACCTACCCATAGGTGATGTAAGGATTAAATGAGATAAAGACTAGTCAATGATTGTTCTAAACGTGTATTATTCTGGGAATCCTTCCATTCTTTAAAATTGTGTAAAATGTGGTTAAAGAAACAATGAGTATATTTCCAGGACAAAAAATTAGGGCATAGTTAGACAAATAATTTTTTTCTGTTCCTTTCAAGGTGCTAAAAGTGTATTTTATATAATTCAAGTGGGAATATCCAGGATATTTCAGTAATTTGTAGGAATATTAAGAAATAGCATTGAGAGTAGCATTGTCCTAGAGAAAATGCATTATGTGTAATTGCCTTGTTATGGAACTGTGTACCCTAAAGTTGTATAGCATGTCCTCTGACTTTGGGACCTGGTGTACAAACCTGAGGTCCCCCTGACTTTATCACTTCTAGGGGATGAAAGTATTTTTTCAGAGTAAAGCGTCAAAATTCCCCCACCTCATTTTCATCTTTCATCATGGCGTGTAATGACCTAGTATGCGATTAGACTGAAGTCCTCTGTTTAGCTAGCAGTATAAACTGTTACCTTGTGCCAATCCCTTGACCTCTTTGTGCATCAGTTCTCTCAATTATAAATTGAAGATATTAAACTACATTGTAAGATTAATGTAAACCCATCTTTTTTTTTAATTCATTTATTCATACAGAACTGGGGTACAGGCCAGAGATGCGGAGGGTGAGAGAATTCACCAGGGACAGAGTGGAGAGCAGAACAGGCAGATTGACGAAGTACACTGCTGAGGGGAGAGGCGGGCTGGTCAGGAGAGGTCTGCCGCGCCATGTGGTCACTTCCAGGGCAGGCAGGGATCGAACTCATGCAGAAGTGGCTTAAGCTTCTTAGTGCAGTGCTTTAACCTGCTGCACCACCAAGGAGGGCCTTAAACCCATCTTTT